CACGCACTATTATAAACACAATGATAAGAAGCAATGATCATGTTTCGAAATACTACTACTAAGACTGAAAGTCTATACTTCACACGTTTTTGACGTATATTATAGATTTCCAATACAGTGTAAGTATATCGGAATACGATCATAACGTAGGTTGCAGAAATTCTATTTTTAGAAACAAAAAAATTCTTTTTATGAGAAGAAGTCTTTGAAATAGGCATTTTCTCTTTTTTTTTGACATGTTCACTTTTTTAAACTTCTTCCAAACTTTCTCAGTCCCTTTCACTCTTAGAATCTTCTTCTTTACTTATGTCATAAAGAAGACGACAATAAATGTTTCTAATTTTAGCTAAGAATATTACAAATTTATTAAGTCTAAGAAATTCTCTCTCTTTTTATTAAAGTATTGTGTAATACAGCTTCAATCAATTTCATCATTTTAGGAACATTTTTTCAAACATGCAATAAAAAATCCAATAGAGTCACTTTCGGGACCAAATCTGCATACTTTTTTCGCATTCTCATTCGTTAAACCATTTATAATGTATCCTCGAGTGCCATATTTGTCTGTTTTTATTCGATCTTTAACAGATTGTAATTGCAATTTTGGAAATTGTTTCAATGCCCAAGCGATAATTCCTTCATTCTCTGCTATTGTGATAGTGCATGTACTATACACCAATGTCCCTTTTGGTTTCAAAAGACGTACGGCCTATATAATAATATTTATCTTTTTTAAAGTTTAATCTACGTGTATATATAATTAATAGATTACAGATACATGTTTATATGACAAATAATTTAATTTGTGTACTTACGGTAGAAAAGAGATTTCGCTGCAAAGGAATGTAAGAATGAAGTTGCATCGGCGTGATCGTATTGTATAATTGCGGTCTTTGACCTAACGCACTGCATGGAGTATCTAAGAGAATACGATCGAAATAATTTTCTTCGAATGGAGGTCCGTCAGTATGGATGAAATTATGTTCTCGTTTGATGACAGCTTTTGTAGCATCATAACAAAATATTTTTATATTTTTATCATTACACTTTTCCTTAAATCGTTTCACTTTACCTGAATTTTTCTCCAGAGCTATTATTGTACCCTGGAAATTATATCAAAGATGATAATTAAATTCAGTGAATACACTGCATATCTACTTTTTTTTCTAATTATTATAGTTTCGTGCTTGTGCGAATTTAAATAAGAAGATAAAGTATACACAATAATTCGAAAGAATAATATATGTTATATGTGCTGTGTAACAAAGAAATTCTTTTTTTCTTTAAACATTTACCTGTCCTTTCATAAGCAAGGAGATATGTGTAGTTTTGTTACCAGGTGCAGCACACATGTCCAGAATTGTTTCACCTGGTTGAGGATTTAAAACTAGGCTACACATAATAGAGGGCAAATTTTGTAATAATGCATGTGGTCTCAAAGATTCATTATTTACATTCAATTGTGGAACTCGTGAGATTACATCAGTCATAATTATTGCAATACCACTGGAAATTTAGTAAAACAATTTAGTAGAAAATAGAAAAGATTTAATAACGGGAATAAAGTTATCATTATGCGTGTAAAATTTTAACATTTAAATGTGTACAATGTATCTACAAAAATGATAGTTCTTTATAAACCATCTATTCTAACATAATTAATCTATTCTAACATAATTAATATTTGGAACTCTATACCATGGATTTTTAGCTGCTTTGCAAAATAATTCTTTCCTTGTTTGTCGAAGAATGCCGTTACCTAAATATATCTTATTACTATTTGCATATGGTTTAATTAAACCTTTCTTACATTGACCAGTAACATCAGCGAATACACTAATTTTAGTATTAATGCTTAAACCTATAATTAAATAAATTTAATTACAAGATTCTTTTATGAATACTTTTAATTACAGAAAGAATTCTATGTACACAGACTCTACCATTTGGCATTCCAATAACGCCAGGAGCATAAACATGAGAACCTCTTAGCACAGCCGCACCACATATAGCATCAACAATAATTTCATCTGGATATATCTTTAAATCAAGAGATACCGAAAAATCCCAACTGTCGACTGCAATTATTCCATTTGGAAGATCTGGTAAGAAGTGAATAGATGGATCCGGTTTGCCATCCTAACATAATATATAAATAGGTATCATATGTAAAATTTTCTTGTAAAAAAAAAGTACGTATCTAGAAATGATATCTAGAATATACTATACAGAATATATCCAGGTCAAAAGACAAATCACATTTTTTTTTGTTTTAGAATTACGAAGGTTTAAGGAATAACAATGTATCTCAGATATGTCAAGATTATATAATATCTTGGAATATACGAGAATTTAATTAATTAAGTGTAAGTTTTTTTATACTATAATTTATAACTGAAAAACAACTATATGTCATAATTATTTCTTATTGTAGCAAGAGTAGCATCAAAATTATTAAATATCATAATTATGTATTACAAAAAAAAATTGATTTATTTGACGTACTTGCTTTAATGCTTTATATAAATTATCCAGATCGTTCGTATAATAATCCGTAAAACGATCTAGTCTATAAAAGCTCTTCTTAGGTGTTGTACATAACCATTTACATAGAGCATCAATCTTTTCCTATAATTTTCGTTTTTTTTAAATACAGATAGAAAATATTTGATTTTGTGTAAAGCGGTGAAATAATTTACGAAAATGTTATTAAAATACCTCAATTTCAGATTGTTCCAAGTATTTATCATTAGTTATCGCTTTTCTCAAGTCTTCTATTAATTCATCACATATTTCAAGTTTATGTTTAAAGGGCAAACAATGCACTTGTAATAATGTCATCTCTCTCTTTCTATTTTTCTATTTTTCTTATTTATCTTCATACGAATCTTGGTTCTTCAGCAGTTAGTTGAACGTCTAATATAGGGTAATTGTCGATGCAATATTTATAATTTAGATAGATATTTTCAGATCCAGATAAATTTTGAATATCTTCTGAATTATTGTTCAAAATTTCTCTTGAACATATATAGGAATATATTTTATTAACTAGGAAGTTTCTATTTAACCATTTGGTAAAAATGAAGAATTTGAAGGCTAATTGATTACAAAACATAACGGTTCATAAAACTCTCGCATAAAAATTTCTTTTATTTTCATAACAGTTCTCATTTGCTACGCAGCTATTTATTTTGTGGCAAGTTTAGAGTGTAATTAGGAAACAAAAATCTATCAATTTTTGACATTTATGGGACATGACAACATCCTGTGTGTAAGTAAATGGAGGTTTGTATATACAAAATCACTTGTGCGCTTTTCACATATTTAATTATTGTCATATTTACTATCCTAGTAAATATCAATTAACAGCTGGTATTATGATATCAATATTATATTTTCCTATTCAACATTATAATTGTTACTTATATATTATACTTATTTGTTGAATGAGAAAATAACTATACTCATGCATGATACATCACTTATATTAGGGTTTGCCTGAGATGATTATTTAAAAATAAAAAAATAAATGTCTTAAATTTATGATTATCTGTAGCGTATAATTAACAACAATAAATTAATTGAAGTTATCCAGATAATACATATTGTAATAAATTAATTTTTCTTTTATGTATAGACACTCGTGATAAATTAATACGATACTCATTTTATTTTTTTAATACAGTTTTGACCAATATGCCACAAACAAAATGTCTACCTTTGGAAGAGTATCAACAACTTTGTTTAGATTTAGATCGAATACGCAAAGAAACTGCAAATCTTCATCAGAAATTATGTCATGCTAGAAGAAATTTAGAGGAGGAAAAACGTAAACGTCGAACAATCGAGCATTATAAAAACTTGTTGGTAAAACTTCTTCTAGCATTAATTTCCTAAACTTTCTTATACATATAAAAAATTGTTTTAAAGATATATATATTATTAAATTATAAAATATTTATCATTTAGTTTTAAAGCAAGTATATTTGTGTTTCAAAGGAAAGCCAAATCAATACGGTTAAAAAGATATTATTTCATGACAAAGAAGTAAACTTGAACGAAGATATAAGAAAGAAACTAGAATTTCTGAACAAATCCGAAATAGAATATACAAGTAATAATTTAACTGTCCAAGACAAATGGAGTGATAGACAGTAGGTATAGAATTAACATAAAATATTATATAATATATATTCTATTTACACAAAAATTCCATGATTTTTAGTCTGACTACAATAGCGGAAACGGATTCTACAGGTTCGATATTAAGTGATTTAAATTGTTTATCCAAGTCAGAAGATGATTTGGATACCGATATTATCATAAAGGTTCAGAGAGAAAAAAAGTGGAAAGAGTATAAACCTAGTGGTGAATATTCTATGAATAAACAGTGTGGCACATTAAATAAAATTGTAGAATTTAATTCGCCAGATGGAATAACAGCAAATATTAAGACAAAAGATAGTGCACGTTCTGTACCTGTTACAACCCAAATTGCATCTAACAAAGAAAATATTGATTCTAAATTATCCAAGATCGAATCGTCTTTTGCTAATCACAGCTTTATATCAAAGATAGTTATTAAACCGGAAACATGTACTCCATGTGGTAAGAGGTAATATCTAGGAAGATGATTAGCGACAGTTGTATAATGAAGATACAATTAAAGATTTAGACCATTAAGTTATATATCTCATTTTCCTTCTGTTTGATGTTAGAATCAGGTTTGGAAAGATAGCACTGAAATGTAGAGATTGTCCTGTTACATGTCACACAGAATGCAAGATTCAAGTTACTTTAGTTTCATGTGAATGCAGAAAATCGGCAACGCTATACGGTGGATCTGTAAGTACTGCACGAAATAATAACACAATACTTTATGTACTTTTTTGTATTTCAGGTTGTCATGAAATAAATGCGATGCTAGGAAATTTGTTATTTAACTGGATTAATCTGGAAATATAAAAAGCTATACCACGATTGAATTAAATTGAATTAAATCTTAATTTAATTATCATTTATAGACTATTGTTGATAGCTAGATTACTGACATAATATAATAGATATAATTAAAAATATGCTACTTTAATTGAAAATATGCTATTATATAATTAGAAGTATTCAATAAATTTATAGCATTCATACATATACATAATGATCGTTGCTTTCTGTAGCTCGCTACTCAGGGTTGCCAAGTCGAAAAGAATAATTTCCTTAGAATTTATAATAAAATTTCCCGAGAAAAAAAATAGAAAATTTTATAAAAATTTAGGGAAAGAAATCACAAAATTTCTGAGAAAAAATTTCCAAAAATTATTTTTTATTTTATATTTAGTAAATAATGGCACAAATCAAAATATGTAATTTTATAAATTTCAATAACAATTGTAACTTTCTTTCATATTTAAAAAATCATAAAATTTCCTGATTTTTTTTTAAATATTGGAAAAGTTTAAAAATTTCAGTAGATTTCGATTAAAATTATGATTTCTTATCATAATTCATTAAATTTCATTGAATCTTAAAGAAAACAGGAAATTTCTCGAACTTGGCAACTCTGATCCAATTACGTAATAAAAAAAAAAGTACATTTCAGCACGTTTCGCGCTGTAATAGGCTTTCTACAAGAAGCTATTACTCCAGAGCCACAATAGATTTTTAAGTCATAAGAAATGAACGAATCATAATCAATTAAGCGGAGAACACAGACTCTTGCATAATGCATAACACATGAGGCATAAGAAGATGAACCAATCAAAATTCTTCGTTTTCTTCTTTTCCATGAAATAAAGGACACTGATTGATTGATTTTCTTATGCTTCATGTTTTATGCAAGAGTCTGTGCTCCCCGCTTTATTTTCCTCGCGTTTAACCATAAATCCGGATCTACAATAGGATTTTAAGCATTAGCAATCGAGAACATGCGAGACAGCGTTTTCGCATTTTTCTATCCCATATCTTTCCCACGATTGGTTGTTCGAATCACGCATCCTCTGTCCCGCGTGTTGATTCCCGTACATGTGATTTCACTCTCAAGCGAGGAGCACAGACTCTTGCATAATGTATAACACGTAATGCAAGAAGAAATTGAACCAATCAAAGTTCTTTGTTTCCTTCTTTTCCAAAATAAAGAATAAATATAATTGCTTGAATTTTTTATGCTTTATGCATGAGTCTATGCTCCCCATTTTAACAAACAGGATTTAAGCCTTAAGCCATAAGAAATGGATGAATTATAGTCATTGACTGCATTCAACAGACTCAACAGTTGAGTGGGTACTCGCTGCTATTGATGTGATTTGATTCTAAAATCTGAATGATTTAAAAGAATACACCAATAGCAGCAGCGCTCACTCAATTGTTGAATTTGAACGCAGCCAATTATTCTCCTCGCATTTGACTTACGGTTTAAAACGCTTATTGTAAATCCGGAGTAACCCTGGATTAGAGTCCTAAATATAACAGAGAAACATCACCTCTGCTACGATTTCTGATTGGTTCTGTCATTTTTTTCTACAGATAGTCGCGTGAATATTCTAGGATTCTAATTTCGGTAAATATCATTTTTAAATCTTGATATGTATACTGCAGTCTCCAAAAAGAATCAGTATTTCTTTGTAATCAGTAAAAACACTATTATTATAGGAATCACACCGTTTGCAGAATGACAGATATAAACACAGATCACATTTTTTCTTTGGACGATCCCTTTAAATATGCTCGGTGGCATTTCTCTGTTATATTTAGGACTCTATCCTGGATTTACAAGCCTTAAAAGACAGTTGTTCTTTTGGTAAATTTTACTTATTGGATAAGTAGCAAGATTATCCAATCACATGCGCGAATTGTCAGATTTATCTTACAGATAAAATTTATCAAAATTGATCTTAAGTCATGAGAAATTGACCAATTACAGTCGAATTCGAGAAGAATAATGGATTATGATTCATCCATTTCTTATGACTTAAGGCTTAGAATTCTATTATACATCCGATGGAGTTATGGTTTAAAACATAAAATACCTATTGTAGGTTGGACTTACGCAACTCGTTATGAGTTCACAACGAGTTACAGAATACAGGCCCTCTAAAAATACATCAATAAATGCATTCAGAACGTCAACCGTTCATTGAGCGCTTAGTCTTTCATTTGATTGATCTATATTTCAGAATCTAACGGAATATGGCTGTGTTCAGTGTAAGAACCACTTACTGAGCAAAAACGGAATTAATAGGTTTATTCATTACAATTCGTAATGCAGAATAACTTGTCTATTATAAATAATCTGTAATTATCTCTCATATTTCTTACTTATTTATTACTGTTTATCATTAATGCTATGTTTGAGCCGTTTTGTAGCGCTTAATGAGAGAGATGGAGCAATTTATAATTGGTCGCATTAAGCAGATTCAACTATTGCGAAGCGAACCCATGAATGCTCGCTACTATATTTGGTGTATTCTATTAGACCATTTAATTGCAGCGAGTCAACGCTTGGTGTCACAGGGGATCTATTCTGCATCTTGATATGAGATAAAAATTATGAAAGTGATTGAATTTATTAGAATACTGATTATTTCATTGGTCAATACCTAATAAATTTGCTCGCTTTTATAATTTTCACCTTGTTTGAAGATACAAGGTATTTGTTCGCGTCGCATGCTCAACATGTTGTAATATAATATATTCCTACCATAGCTCTTACTCATTCTAACGCGCTTGATAGAGTGAATAGGAGTTGTGATAGGAGAATCGACTCTCTGAGCTGCGTTCTACTCAACATTTACAACGCTTGTGAAATCATTTCATTCTTTTTGTTTGTCATAATTATTTTATGTCAAACAAGAACAAACGATGCTTCATCTCGTTTCAAATTACAGATTGATTCCCTGATAAGAGTGTGCTATCAATTCTTCCACATGAATAATTGGCACGCTTTTATTGTGTGGATGTAGTACAGATA